TTTCGGTTTTGATTTTTTTCAGTTCAGTTTCAGTTTTTTTAGTTTTCAAAACAACAACAACAACAACAACAACAAAAAAGCCTTTTCCCACTAAGTGGGGTCGGCTATATGAATCCTAGAACGCCATTGCGCTCGGTTTTGTGTCATGTCCTCCGTTAGATCCAAGTAATCAAGTCTTTTCTTAGGGTCTCTTCCAAAGTTTTCCTAGGTCTTCCTCTACCCCTTCGGCCCTGAACTTCTGTCCCGTAGTCACATTTTCGAACCGGAGCGTCAGTAGGCCTTCTTTGCACATGTCCAAACCACCGGAACCGATTTTCTCTCATATTTCCTTCAATTTTGGCTACTCCTACTTTACCTTGGATATCCTCATTCCCAATCTTATCCTTTCTCGTGTGCCCATACATCCCACAAAGCATCCTCATCTCCGCTACACCCATTTTGTGTACGTGTTGATGCTTCACCGCCCAACATTCTGTGCCATACAACATCGTTGGCCTTATTGCCGTCCTATAAAATTTTCCCTTGAGCTTCAGTGGCCTACGACGATCACACAACACGCCGGATACACTCTTACACTTCATCCATCCAACTTGTATTCTATGGTTGAGATCTCCATCTAATTCTCCGTTCTCTTGCAAAATAGATCCTAGGTAGCGAAAACGGTCACTTTTTGTGATCTTCGCTAGATTGCTCCGGTCATTAGTGTGGATAAGTATATAAATGGATAGAGATAGGAAAGCAAACACAAGATGTACGTGATTCACCCAGATTGGCTACGTCCACGGAATAGAGGAGTTCTCATTAATTGTGAAGGGTTTACAGAAGTACATAAGTTCAAGCTCTCCTTTAGGGAGTACAAGTGAATGATTTAGTACAAATGACATTAGGAAATATTGTGGGAGAATGATCTCGTAACCACGAAACTTCTAAGTCCCGAAGTGTGGTATCGGCTTGACTTTCCTTATCTGTCTCATAGGTAGATGTGGAATCTTCTCTGGAAGTACTCTTCCTCCATCCAGGGGTGGTATCAGTAACTGGTGGAGATGCACAAGGTAATGTATCAATGTCACTTGAAGCTTACTTGTAGTTTCAGGCTTGATCAAGCGCGATACAAACCATGTAGTAGGAGTCCCCCAAGTCGCCGAGCTAGGGGATCTGCTGAAAGAGGTAACAGACAAGGTAAGCAATCAGAGCTCCGGCTGATTGTTCACATTCTCCCTATCTTGCAGGCAGCATGAAGGATAAAGAGAAGAAAAATGAGAAGAGATGATATGGGATACTTTTGCTTTTGAAGAAGTAACTTTTCACAGGCTTATTCTTGAACTGGGCTGGAGGGTTTTCTGGTTTCCTCCAAAGTATAAAGCCGACTGAAGAATTTGAGGGTCAAAACAAGTCCATCAAATTTAGAGTACGTTCGACCCTGCTGATATGGGATACTTTTGCTTTTGACAGAGTAGTGGATGTATCGGCACGTGTGCTGTTACGCTTGTCTCCACATGCTTCCTTGTATCATTCACTTGCCCTATCTGTTCCTCAGGCAGATGCGGTATCTTCCTTGGAAGCATAAGATGTTGAAGATGAGTACTCGAGAGCAATGCCAGGGTAAGGGTTCCAGGCAGTCAGTTCCTGGCTGGAAGCTTGATTCCAAGTGCTGACTGATTGCTCTCTTTCTCCTTGTCTTGCAGGTAAGAACAAGGCCAAAGGAAAAGACAGGGAAAAAGCATGATATGAGATACTCTTGCTTTTAACCCTGATGATATGAGATATTCTTGCTCTAGTATAGCTTGTTTACAGAGGTATTATCGGGGGGAAAGAAAGCTGAATATTTCGAAAGGCTTCGTTGGGAGTGTCCTCTCAGATAAGAGGAAGGGTTGAGCATTTTTGCAGGTCTGCCTGTCCGTTGGGGATGGAGGTCGACATATATAGGAGTCTCCCTAACATCAAGTAATAATAATGCTATTCCTTTACCCTGCTTGGTCATAGCACGGTAGTGGGAGCTGCCAGCTTCACAAGTTTTAACTCTGTCAGAGCACTTTGAAAAAGTGGTCTGTGGTATCTGGAAAGCTGATGTTGCGTGTGAAGATTACAGACAAGCTTTATCCAAGGAGATCCGGCTCTTGAAGTTGGGAAAGTGGTGCCTCTTCGGTTTTCGAACAAGCAATCCTGTCGGGGATCTGGCTCTCGAGATTCGAAGAACGATGCCTCTTCGATTTTTGAGAAAGCAATCATGCTGGGGGTCTGGCTCTCGAGATTCGGAGAGCGGTGTCTTCGATTTTTGAGAAAGTAATCATGTTGGGAGTTGGGAGTGTTTTCTCGAATATGAGTAAAGGTTGGGCATGTTTGCTAGTCTACCTTGCCACGAAGCACAGAGGTTGACACACAGGGACTTTCCAATTATCCAGCAGTGGTACTGTTCCTTTACCCTCTCTTCGATTTTTGAGAAAGTAATCATGTTAGGAGTCTGGCTCTCGAGATTCGGAGGGCGGTGCCTCTTCGATTTTGGAGCAAGCAATCTTGTTGGGGGTGTTTTCTCGAATGTGAGTAAAGGTTGGGCATGTTTGCTAGTCTACCTTGCCACGAAGCACAGAGGATGACACACAGGGACTTTCAAATTATCCAGCAGTGGTACTGTTCCTTTACCCTCTCTTCGATTTTTGAGAAAGTAATCATGTTGGGAGTCTGGCTCTCGAGATTCGGAGGGCGATGCCTCTTCGATTTTGGGGCAAGCAATCTTGTTGGGAGTGTTTTCTCGAATGTGAGTAAAGGTTGGGCATGTTTGCTAGTCTACCTTGCCATGAAGCACAGAGGTTGACACACCGGGACTTTCCAATTATCCAGCAGTGGTACTGTTCCTTTACCCTTGTGGGTAATAATATGGTAGCTAGGCCGTCAAAATTTATGTGTCTAAACTTTGTTAGTGTTGTTTCTTTGCTATTCTTTTACCCTTCTTGGTCAGAGCGATGTAGTGAGAGTTGCAAGCTTCACGTGTCTCGACTTTGTCAGAGAACTTTGGCAAAGTTATATGTGGTACCCATGAGCTACTGTTGCGTGTCGGAAGTGGGTGATTGAACAGTACGATTCATGTGCTTTCTACTTCGACAAAATGCCCATAATTTCCGCAAAGCTGAGTGTGCGTGTGACAGGTGCTGACAAGGCTGGAAAAGTAGTCTCAACTTTGTCAGAGGACTTTGGCAAAGTTATATGTGGCACCCATGAGCTACTGTTGCGTGTGGGAAGTGGGTGATTGAACAGTACGATTCATGTGCTTTCTACTTCGCCAGAAATCTTCGACAGAATGCCCATAATTTCCGCAAAGCTGAGTGTGCGTGTGACAGGTGCTGACAAGGCTGGAAAAGTAGGTGCCTCTTCGATTTCTGAGATCGACCCTCGTGGTCTCTGAGCAGCCCAGCTTTTGAGAAAGCAAACCTCTTCGATTTCTGAGATCGGCCCTCGTGGTCTCTGAGCAGCCCAGCTTTTGAGAAAACAAACCTCTTCGATTTCTGAGATCAGCCCTCGTGGTCTCTAAGCAGCCCAGCTTTTGAGAAAGCAAACCTCTTCGATTTCTGAGATCGACCTTCGTGGTCTTTGAGCAGCCCAGCTTTTGAGAAAGCAAACGCCTCTTCGATTTCTGAGATCGACCCTCGTGGTCTCTGAGCAGCCCAGCTTTTGAGAAAGCAAACGCCTCTTCGATTTCTGAAGCTTCGTCGAGTGCAGATTTTTATAGAGGCTGACATTAAGTTCCAAAGCACACTTGAATATCCACCAGTAGAAGCTCCATTCTTGCACTTCTAAGATCTTGATTTGTCCGGCCTCTTCTCTTTTCTACACCTTTGAAAATGTCTGGCCCCTCCGACCGCCGTTTTGACTTGAACCTTGTTGAAGAGGCAGCCCCGCCTTCTCCAGACAACATATGGCGCCCATCCTTCGTCTCCCCTACTGGTCCTCTTACCGTTGGGGATTCCGTGATGAAGAATGATATGACCGCTGCGGTAGTGGCCAGGAACCTTCTCACTCCCAAAGATAACAGACTACTTTCCAAACGGTCTGATGAGTTGGCTGTTAAGGATTCTCTGGCTCTTAGTGTTCAGTGTGCAGGTTCTGTGTCTAATATGGCTCAACGCCTATTTGCTCGAACCCGCCAAGTTGAATCATTGGCGGCTGAAGTGATGAGTCTCAAACAGGAGATTAGAGGGCTCAAGCATGAGAATAAACAGTTGCACCGGCTCGCACATGACTATGCTACAAACATGAAGAGGAAGCTTGACCAGATGAAGGAATCTGATGGTCAGGTTTTACTTGATCATCAGAGATTTGTGGGTTTGTTCCAAAGGCATTTATTGCCTTCGTCTTCTGGGGCTGTACCGCGTAATGAAGCTCCAAATGATCAACCTCTGATGCCTCCTCCTTCTAGGGTTCTGTCCAGTACTGAGGCTCCGAATGATCCCCCTCCGGTGCCTTCTCTTTCTGGGGCTCTACCGACTGCCGAGACTTCTCCTAAGCAACATTTGTGAAGGCTCCCTCTTGTTTGTTTATTTTGACTCAAGTATATGTACATATTTGTAATTTTATCGGGGATATCAATAAATAAGCTTTCCTTCATTTCAACGTATTGTGTTAAATCACCAAAGCCTTCTTCGCTAAGTTCTTTGAATTTTCTTTTGTTGAAGCTTGTATGTTGGAGCTTTGTGAGTGGAGCATGTAGGTTGAGGTAGTGTTCCCTTAATTTCCCGAGCGAGGACAACTTCTCGGTTGGAGACTTGGAAAATCCAAGTCACTGAGTGGGATCGGCTATATGAATCTTAGAACGCCATTGTGTTCTGTCCTGTGTCATGTCCTCCGTTAGATCCAAGTACTCTAAGTCTTTTCTTAGGGTCTCTCTCAAAGTTTTCCTGGGTCTTCCTCTACCCCTTCGGCCCTGAACCTCTGTCCCATAGTCGCATCTTCTAATCGGAGCGTCAGTAGGCCTTCTTTGCACATGTCCAAACCACCGTAACCGAAAATAAAAAAAATTGAAATCGGAAATTTTAAATAAATTGAGACATAAGATTCACAATGTGATGGTGCTTATACATTCATCGGATGCAGAAAGGACAGAACATAACATCAAGGTCAGTGGCAAGTTAAAGGACAAATTAGTTTAGAGTTACACATTTGAAATTCAACAGTTTTCACTTTTAAGATTTACACCCTAGCTTATGTGTGATATGATGTCTATTCCATGTACAGGTTGAGGAGCTGAATGGAATCACTAGTCCTACCTTTTTCCTTGATAACTTATGAATTTCGTTCTGACTACAGGAAGTATGCCAACCATGGCATAGCAATCGGGTTGCAACAAACACATTCCTACCCATACCAATCTCTGTTATGTATCCATCAATCCATTCCCCACCCCACTGCCTATATCCCCTAACCTCCCACATGCAAATAAAACCCGAACAAGGCTAAAACTATTAGACCTCAAACCCATCTCCAACAACCCGCAAAACGTATCAATAGCTTCTCTGTACCGGCGAGCTTCAATGTACCCACAAATCACGGTAGTCCAAAAAACAACATTTTTCTCCGGCATTTCATCAAATATATTATGTGCATGTTCCAAATACCCACATTTCACATACAAACAGAGCAAACAGGTTTTAACATAAACATCGAAGTCGAACTCCGTTTTCACCACAAGGGTATGAACGTTCATACCCAATTGGAAGTCCGATCGCCTCGCACACGCTTTCAGATGTAGAAGCACCTCCTTGTCAGGATTCATCAGATGCACAACCAATGGTTACAAACCCTTAAATCAAAACCTCCCATCTAATTGACAACCCATTCCTCACCCATCAGATTCTTCTAATTGACAACAATAGTAAGCATTACTATCAAAGAAAATATGTAGAACATGAGAGACTAACTGACTAACCATGCAAAGGAAGTCGTGGGTTAAGAGACTCAAGACTGGAAACGACGAAAGGACTCAAAGCCAGAGGAGGTCGCGGGTCACGCCATCACGGGTCATGGGGGCGAGAGATTGAGAGTGAGATGGGTCGCACCGTCGCAGGTCGCAGATGCGCTGAGAGGCAGAGGTTGAGAATGGGAAGTGGGAACTTGGGATTTGGGAAGGATAAGGGAAGGATTTCAGACTGAAAGATGGAAAGCCCGAAGGGTACGGGTAGGAATTATCTTTCAGATTGAAGTACGACACCGTTTAAGTAATAAAAATATTAATTTATAAGATTATAACTTCGATTCGGTTCAGTTTTCAAACCCCAGAAAGCAAACCGAACCAAGTTAGATTTGATTCGGTTCGATTTAACAGTTTATGTGGTTTTTGTTTTTTTTTTCAATTTTCGGTTTTTTGAACCCACCCCTAGAATCAATATGCATCATCAGTATGTAGCGCCAATCACCCCACAAGAAAAAACAAAAGAACAATGAAAACAAAAAAAATCAATAACAGACGATTTGCAAAACAAGAAAGAAAGAGAGGAAAAAATTCTTAAGTGGAATAAGCTGCTTAACTTTAGAATTTTCATTGTCCTATGAGTAAGAAAAGTTGCATTCATGAAAATTCTTGATTTTGCCATCCATATATAATGTGGTATGCAGAACACTCGAAGAAAGTGCAAATGTTATTCCAACCCCCTCACTATGACCGATGCTCAGTGCTTACAACAGAAATAAACATAGTTTCATCTCATCCCATGTTAAAGATTCAATGGATTCAACTTCGATTTCACATCCAAGGCTTTAAATTGAATCTTTGATTCAAACGAACCCTAACTGTAAAATTAATTTAATTACAAATTATTAATTAAACTAACTAATACAAGTTCCAAATTCTTACCATATTAGCTGGAACGAAGAGCAAGTGAATGATTTGCCAATTTTGTTTTGCAGAGCTTTTGATTTGCAGAGTTTAGGGCTTGCAGATGAAGGGGATCTAGGGATGCAAGTAGTAAGGTCGCAAAGATGCAAACAGCCAGGTCGCACATAGTGAGTTCAGGGCACTAATGTCGACTGCAGAAAAGATGAAGATGGGTTTTGACTTTTGAGAGAGATATGAAAATGAGTTTTAAGAAGATGAGTTTTAAGGAAAAGATTAAGATGAGTTTTAGCCTTCAGGACTCGAACTTAAAGTGAAAAATTGGATGATAGTCCAGTAACCTAGTTGAACTAATTAAAAGTTTAAAACATAACATGCGGTTTCAGTTTCGGTGCAGTTTTGAAAACCCAAAACCGAAACCAAACTGTTTTCTTTGCTGCAGTTCAGTTTCGAAACTGAAACCGTTTCAAAACCGCAAAACCAAATCATTCGGTGCGGTTCAATTCAATTCGTGTTTTAGTTTCGATTTTCGGTTTCAAGTGCCCACCCCTAACAGCAATACACAACTATCAAAGGTTGAAAATAAAGGGTTTATGATAGATTAGAATTCTCTACAATCTCACAATTCTCAAAATACTATCTCAATCATTTATTCTTCTCCATAAGAGCAACTCCACCCCTAAAAAAAATACGCCAGCACCCAGCCCATTTAATCCATTCAGTGAACAGTGATAGACCCCAATAAACAGTAATAGGCCAAATGCATCTCCACCCTTACAAAATGCGTTGGCACCCAACCCATTTAAAATTTTATTACTTTTTTTATAAAATAATAAATAAATAAATTGTTTTAATTTCAGATAGGATTTTTAACCAATCTCATCACGTTACGTGTCATTATCATAATAAAATTACATAAACTCATCAAATAAGCTTAAAAACACACACTAAATAAAATTACATAAACTCATCAAATAAACTTAAAAAAAACACACTAAATAAACTAAGAACTTTATTGTTCCACCACAAGATCCTTTTAATTATCTTGACCTTATTGCAATCCCCATTGGTGCTCAATCAAGTCACTTTGACGGGTACAGTGCAAGTATGGCTCTTGCAATGAAGTGTACCGCTCAGCGATCAATTGATTGTAACGTCCATCTCGTTCCAATGGCTTATGTTGCACAGGATCTTCTGTGCTGTCATGAGCACAATAGATACGTGCTCTTGAGTTGTTCATTGTGTCTGGCTCATATTCGTCGACGGCATCATAATCATACTCATCTTCCACAATCATGTTGTGGAGAATAATACACGTCATCATAATGGATCGAAGTGCCTTAACATTAAACATTCTGGCACCTGACCTCACAATCGCCCAACGAGCTTGCAGGATACCAAAACAACGTTCCACATCTTTCCTACACCCCTCTTGACATTTTGCAAAGTGTTTTTCTTTTTCACTTTGTGGATGTGGGACTGTTTTGACAAACGTTATCCACCTTGGGTAAATGTCGTCTGCAAGGTAGTACGGTTGTTCCTATGTATGATCATTGACTGAATATGTGACTCTGGGTGCTTTTCCTTGCAGCAATTCGTCGAACACTGGAGATTGGGTAAGGACATTTATGTCATTCTAAGCTCCTGGAACACCAAAAAATGCATGCCAAATCCATGTATCAAATGAAGCCACTGCTTTCAAAATGATACTTTTGGCTCCTTTTTTGTTGCCATACGCTCATTGCCATGCACTTGGACAATTTTTCTAGGTCTAGAGTATGCAGTCGATGCTTCCAATCATGCCAGGGAAGCCTCGCATCTCACCCTTCCTCAGTAGCCTTCGTAGATCCATAGGCGTCGGTTTCTTGAGGTACTTCTTCGTATAAAGGACTTCGATTGCGGAGCAAAACCACATCAGGGACTCCAGAACATTTGATTTTCCCATCCTTGTTATCTCACCCACTTGATCTGCAGATGCTCCATATGCAAGCATCCGCAATGTAGCAGTAACTTTTTGCTCAAGAAGAAGACTTAGAACATGAAAAGCATCTTTTTTTTGGCACAAAGTATTGATCATGGTCGCAAACAACACTCATGATTTTGTCGAACAAACTTCGTTGCATTCTAAAACGACGTCTAAAAACTTGATCAAGGAATACACAGTTGGGGATAAAATAATCTTCCAAGATATTTGTACCTCATTTTTCCCTCTTTCTATAGAAGTTTGTAGCACGTCTGGGTTTGGATATCTAACCCACATCTTCCATGACACGGTGGGAATGTGAGGCCCTCTACCTTCTATGGTAATCATCCTCATCTTCCTCCATTGCAAAAGCCTCATCTCCACCTCCACCTTCCTCGAGATTGACCAATTCTTCCTGTTGTGCCAACAATCTTTTATGTTGCTTCTCAAACTGTTTATATACTCTCCTTGAAGAAGACATTGCAAGAACTCAAGATTTAAAAATGATGAAGATGGATGTAGGGATGTAGGGTTTATATGGACAAAAAAAGAAAGGATGAGGTTCTTGGTTTTTTTTTCACACAAAAAGTATATGAAAGTTTTGGTAGAAAGTGTTGAAAATATTGAAATATGGTGTAAGGTGGAAGATGAGGGTTTGGTATTTATAGGAAAAAAATTAGATAAAATTTTTTTCTGTATTTTTTAACAATTTTTAATTAATTTTTTATAAATTTTAATTTAGGTAATTAATATGGACCATTGGATTTGAAAAATATTAAAATCTAACAGTCTATAAGTTGATACGTGGCCAACGGTCATAATTCTGACCGTTGTGCCTTTTTTTTTAGGGGGGAAATGTGGACCGTTAATCTGTAATCGGACGGTCCAGATCAAAATTCAAATTCAATTTTTTTTTACAATTGAAAATCCAACAGCCCAAGACCGGCCACTTGGCCTCCCTATTGGTGCGCTAAGTGTGCCTGTGCAAGCGAGCCCCGACTCTAGATTCTTGTCGGCGACGTGTGCCCAGTCGAATGTGCTTCCCACGCACCTAGCGCAAAAAAAAATTCAAATGGCCTCTGACACCACACTAGCGTCAGCATGGCATCAGATGGGCCAGTCAACAGGTCTATTGATTCTGGGCTGGCATGTGCTTTGGTTTGGGCTGGCATGTGCCTTGGCTTGGGCTGGGGTGGAGTAGAAATGCGGGAGGCCAATCCATTTTTTGGATGTGTCGGCCTATCAAGCCTTGGTGGAACTGCTCTAAGGAGGTATTTATAAGATTACAAAGAAACAATACTAGGAAATAAATCAAAACAATCATTTGTCTACAAGACAAGGAAACCTAGACTAAATCAAAACCCTAATTAAATCATATAAATCATTAATTAAATAAATCTTAAAATACTTTCCTTTTTATTTTCCAACACCCCTTCTTAAACTCATGATGTGAAATCATGAGTTTGCCAAGAAGGAAATCTTCATTGATACGCTGAAACTAACGCCAATTTTTTCGAAAGCTTAACAAATCATAATCCATCAGAACTAACGCCTCTTTTCGAATGCCCAGTTGGAACTAGTGCTAATCTTTTCGAAAACTAAACTAGAACAAATGTCTCTTTTCGAAAGCCCGACAAACAAATCATAATCCTTTGAACTACGCCTCTTTTCGAAAGCCTAATTGGAACTAGCGCTAATCTTTTCAAAAGCCCAATTGGAACTAGCGCTAATCTTTTCAAAAGCCCAATTGGAACTAACGTCTTTTTTCGAAAGTCCTATAAATAAATCTCTTGATATGTTGGAACCAACGCCTCTTTTCGAAAGTCCAGTTGGAACAAACGCTAATCTTTTCGAAAGCCAAACTGAAACTAATGCCTCTTTTCGGAAGCCCCAACCACCAAATCTCTCTTTTTTATATCTTTTTCTCTTTTTTTTTCCGTCCTTTTTTCTCTTCTTCATGGCAGCGGAAAATTATCTTCTTCTAACAATTGTAGACAATCTTCACCCTCAGGTTCATGGCATGTGGGTGCACGAAGAAAATTAGCTTTGTACACCCACAAGGAAGCGCTCACAACAAAAGTTCAATCGAGAATCGAACTCTGCTCTGATACCAAGTTGAAAATAAAGAGTTTATGATAGATTAGAATTCTCTACAATCTACAATTCTCAAAATACTACTTCAATAATTTATTCTTCTCCATAAGGAGGTATTTATAAGATTACAAAGAAGCAATACTAGGAAATAAGTCAAAACAATCATTTGTCTACAAGACAAGGAAACCTAGACTAAATCAAAACCCTAATTAAATCATATAAAATCACTAATTAAATTAAATCCTAAAATACTTTCCTTTTTATTTTCCAACATTTTATGTTGAATCGATTTAGAATTTCTGGTTGAGAACCC